TGCATTTTATGTGTTATATTAATTTTGATCCCGAAACTACTAGCAAATAGAACTATTGTTGGTACAATGTCTCCGTACGTTCATGAGATGGGCATGTCAGGCACCGCACTCGTGGTAGCTAAATGTTCATGATCACTGTCTATCATTGTATTATTGTCACTATCAACTTTATCTAATTCAGGAATCATTATTTCATCGCCACTATCATCATCAGCACAAATCTCCTTCACAACACTTTCCAGCTGGTTTGTAGGAACACGCCGACACTTGCTGCGAGAAACCATGGTGAAACTGAATGAATGTGAAATATGTTCTGACCCTTTCCTTCTCAGAGGGTTCTGACAGTAATATAGACCCCCACAAAGTTTACAAGGGTTCTTTACAAACATGTACAAAAACTATCATATATATGTCTTTGGTTGATGAATGCCAAGAGAGCAAAGAAGGGAAGAGATTGTCAAAGCGTTAAAACACACCAATGCCAGGGAACAGCTGGCATCATCCGGGCGTTAAAACACGCCCACGCCAGTCAAAGAGTTAAAATAAGAGTGATAAACCATTTTTAAGGTATTTATGGATGTGTATGGTTTAAGCGATCTTATTATGTAGCAAACTTGCACTTAGTTTTGAACTATTATATTCAATGTGGTATTTCCAGCTCATTGTATCATCAATGAATATTCCAAGAAATTTAATATTTGATATAGATGTAATTTGTTTTTTATCATATACAACTTTTATTTCATATTTAGGATTATTATTTCTAGCTGTAAATTGAATGTAGTGGGTTTTGTTAAAATGTATAGAAAGTTGATTTACTTTGAACCGTTCATTTATACTATGAAAAGCATAGTTTGAACTTTTAACTAACTGCAAATAATATAGGTACAGTTTTACCATTTATAGTTTTGGGTAAATCGTTTATATAAATGAGAAATAACAATGGACCCAGAATCGAACCTTGCGGGACACCATGTCTAATTTTGCCCCATGTCGAAAATTCATCGAAATTAAGATTTATATTTGTAATTAAAACCCTCTGATATCTATTTCTGAAATATGATTGAAGCCATAGTTTAGCTTTACCTTTTATCCCACAGAAATCCAATTTCGACAACAGAACCTCATGATTAACACAATCAAAGGCCTTTTCAAGATCACAAAAAATGCCTCCTCTTAAGTTTCTGCTGTTTAAAGTTTTACAGATTTCATTCACTAATTTGTATATAGCCTCATCTGTTGAAGATTTTATTCTAAAACCAAACTGTTCTTCCACTAAAATGTTATTGTTATTTAAGTGCTGAATCAATTGAATGCTCATAGCTTTTTCTAATACCTTAGAGAGCAAAGTTAAAAGTGATATAGGCCTATAGTTGGAAATATTGATTTATCACTTTTTTTAAACAGCGGTTTTATTGCGAGTATTTTAAACGATATTGGAAAATTCCTTGTGATAATGAATTGTTGCATATGTTAGTCAAAGGAGAGCTAATGAAAAAAAAACTCATTCTAAAAATTTGATTGGTTAGAAATAAAAATATTCTTCCTTAAAATTGGCCACACTTTATATTCTAGGGCATCTTATACTTGAGTCAATACTATAACAATCATTAAACTGAAGTCCTTGAATCTGGTAGCACTTGCATCATCTAACCTTTGGTATATTTACCTGCATTAATCTTTCTGATAGTATACCAACAATCTCCAATTTTGTGTATGGGGCAAAGTGCAGGAGCTCAGGTCTCAGATCAAGACGTGCTTGTAGGCGGGGCAATATCCTGTCTGTCAGATCTAATGCATTAGCAATTCCTATGAGGACTAATTTTGAGTTATGTGTTGATGGCCATTCAAACACTGTGTATAAAACAGACTGCTTCCGACTATCGAGTTGGTCAATTTCATCCAGCACCAACAAACTGAAAGAAAAAAAATATTTACTTTGCAGAAAAATAATGAACCTATTTGTCTTCATGGTGTCTAAAGCAAAAAATTTCAAATGTACATCAAATGGATCATACTTACATCATTTTATGATTTGAAGTCAAATATCGCTCAACACTTGCCAAATAGTTTTTCTCGGTTTGTTTAGACACTTTCAAAGCAAGTTCTTGAGCAATTCTTGCATAAATAGAACCAGATGATTTAATGGAGGTACAATTAATATTGATAATTTTGTACCCATTTTTAAACTGAAAAGAATGAAAAACAGAAATTACAAATATGTAAAATATTTGTATTTGTATTTATTGTAAGTTCAAGAGCTCCAAAGATGAATATAGAACATGACATAAATTATTTTAGAGCATAGAATACATACATAAATATTACATAACTAGACAGTACAATGAATACAATAATAAAAATTATCTCTTTAGATATTCATCCAAAGTATAAAATGTATGAGTATTCAAGAAATGCATTAATACAACCTTAAACTTTTTAAAATTATTAGATGTGTTCTTGAGTTCTACGGGCAATTTATTGAACATTTTTATATCCGTATAATAAACTCCTTTTTGATAAATAGTTAAATTAGCTTGAGATAGATACAAATCTTGTCTTTGTCTAGTATCAATAATATGAGAATCGATGTTTGATGGAAAAAGAACTTTATTTTGCAATACAAATACTGGCCTCGAAAATATGTATTGTGATGCAAATGATAAAATATATAACTCTTTTTTAAATATGTTTCTACATGAAACTCTATTGCCATATCCCAACATCGTTCAGATAGCATTTTTTGCAGAAGAAAAACAGCAGAACTATGAGATGAGTTTCCCCAAAAGATGATACCACAGATCATTAAGGAGTGAAAAAAGGAATAACAGATTACCTTTAAAGCTGAAATAGACATGTACTATTTCATATTTCCAGTTATGTACCAAGCCTTACTTAATTTTTTTTACAAGTAAATCAATGTGATTCCTCCTTATCAAGGCACTACCAACTATACCTCCCAAGAATTTAGTACTGAAGGTACGGTTGATAAACTTATTATTATGATTTACTGTAAAAGTATCTGACATTATTGTCTTAGTTTTAAATTGAATACAATGTGTCTTATTAAAAGTTAAAGATAATTTATTAGCTCTAAACCATCCATTTAAGATTTCAATTGTTATAAGAATATTCCTGCTAAGATCCTTTATATTAGAATGTGAACATAAGATGCTAGTTTCATCATTGCCACATGTATGAAAGACTATATAGACAGGGTTTGGATTAGATACAACATACTGCCATGAAATTTTAAGAACTGTCAAAGCATGCACTAGTTTGAACAGAACAAACAATAATAATATATAAGAAGTCCAAAATAAGTACCACATCTAGACAGAATGTCATAAGCAAGAATATCAAAATCCATCTTTGAATTACCATTCACTAGAGGGAAGAGTTAATGGTGAACTTCATAAACAGTGATCTGAAGCCAGAATGGGATTACATTCTGATCCTTCTGAGGCAGAAGAAAATGCATAAACAAATATATGGTAAAAGTCACAAAACTAATTGTGTTGGGTGAGGTTCCAATGAAGAGCACTATCTTAGGTTGTGATATTGTGTAGTCCAGTTGATGTTCACTCATGATTCAGGGGAAAGTATGCCTCCATCTTTGTGGTCAGAGAATGAGCCAAGTAAGAATCCAGCATAAATGAGGTGGTAATATTACTTATTTTGTATATAAACGTTACACATATTTTTAAAAATCATACCTTCAGTTACATCATACATTTGAAATATACAAGTACAATACTACCAACACAGATACATCTATTGAAAGTGAATTTATTAAAGATAATTTTCATGCTACACCTCTGGAAGTTCCATAATTTTGGATAAACAAGCTGTTTTTCCAGTGCCTGGGGGTCCAGACACATAGAGAGTTCCTGAGCTGCCGGCTGTTAAATGATCCTGCAAAAATGAATGGAGTTTGTCCAAGTGAACCTCACGACCTGGTAAACTTGTTGGTGCACAACCCTGAAGAGCCTGACGGACTTCTTGATAAGCTGACTCTACGGAACAAACCAGATGCAGTATGAGGATTCTAAATACTTCTGTGAACTTCCAAAGGATATGTCCATTGTCACCCCATTAAGCACAAGAGACAACTATAATTTTAAAAAGTAATTAACAAAATACCAGATACAGCATACAAACTTTGCATTACATTTAAAAAAAAATACAAATCTAATAGGATACTGATAAATTAAAAAAACTTATTTGAGAAGTTCACATCATGTATCCCACACCTATACTATGAAACAGATAATGAAGACCAAACTGAACACAAAATGGCCACCAAATTATATAAGTGATTACATCCACATTCAGGATTTGGGAATTTTAATATAGGACGATTTGCTTCACAGAAAAATAGCAAAGAACTAGGTCCTGGGATGAACACTTCAAACAACTGAGAAAAGTATGCAGAGAGAGAGAATTTAAATGTCAAAATGATGCTGGCATATAAAATGCAGATAACAGGATAACTGAATTGGAATTCTTTATGTGCCAAATGAAGCCTAGAAATTCTTACCCCAAGGCACAATTAGAAACATTCTGAGACTATAAATGTGATATGGCTAAAAGAATGCATACAATATTATGAAACTTTTAAGAATGAGCATGGTGAAGGAATTCCAAGAGAGGAAAAATAAAATGACCAAATTGAAGAAGGTAATAAGTATATTCATGAAGAAGTTTAAATAGTTTTAAAACAAACCAAAAAATAATAAATCAGTTAGTCCCAGTAAATTACTGTACAAAATTTATTAACTTTATAATAAGGTTGACAACACTGCATATCAAATACCTGACATGAAGAGCTGCTTAGGAGGGAGATGCTTCCGATTGTGTGTGACTGCAGAATTGCAAGGAACACTTAAGCGCAGCTGTGTTATAAGGCAAGAAGGTGTGGGTGGTGAAGTAATACCAGTCCTTTCCACAGCATTACAATCTTCAGTTACTGTCTTACTACATTTTGGTGGGGAAGAGGCATTTTCCATTTCACCTGTAATTATATTATTACATCATCCCATATCTGTTCTGATACAGGGACTCAGTTCCTAAATGAGATAATACTTCAAAAGTGCAAAAGGAAATTACAGGAACACACAAACTCATAATGAGGAACACAACAGATCGTTTACATATATTTTGTATAATGTACCAACTTCATAAACCTACATTATTTTTTATACCTCTATTTGGATTTCTCAACTACCCTGTCATTGTAATCACATACAGTATGTCAGAAAGTAATCACTTAAAGTTAGAGTTAAAAAGAATACGAGGCTCATCCACAAAGTAAGTTTCCCTGGGGCTGTTTACAGAAACAAAACACAATTTCATGGAAATATTTATTGCAACAGATACAGCAAGTGTCCAGCTATTTTTCAACATAATTGCCACCGGAATTGAGACATATGTCATACCGTGGGACCAACTTTTGAATACCTGTGTCACAGAAGTCTGCCGCCTGGGACTGGAACCACTGTGTGACAACCATCTCCGCCTCTCTGTCATTCTCAAAACGCTGACGCTCACTGGACAGGAACTTCTTGAGGTGTAGGAAAAGATGGAAATCACTGGGAGTGAGGTCTGGGCTGTAGGGTGGATGATTAAACACCTCCCAGCTGACCTCCTGCAGGAGACTTGTTGTCCGTCGAGGCGTGCGCAGCCTAGTGTTATTGTGCAGGAAGACAATACCGGCACTAAGCATCCTGCGCCCCTTGTTCTGAATGGCCCATCACAATTTCTGCAGTGTTTCACAGTAACGCTCAGCATTCACCGTCTCACCTCTGGTCAGGAAGTCGACGTGGAGAACGCACCGTCTGTCCCAGAATACCGTGCACATCATTTTCCGTGCTGATGTCTGCTTGAATTTTGTCTTACAGGGAGATCCACTGTGACGCCAATGCATTGACTGCTGCTTGGTTCCTGGGGTAATGTGTGCAATCCACATTTCATCACCTGTGATGATCTGGTCCAGAAACTCGTCGCTGTCATCATGGTACCGCTGCAGAAATGTCAATGCTGACTCCATGCGCTTTGTTTTGTTCTGGTGTCAGTTGCTTCAGCACCCACCTGGCGCACAATTTCCTGAGCAACAGATGCTCCATGATAATTTCGTGCAACAACGAGCAGGAAATCTACGGGACATGACTGCTGAGTTCCGTAATTGTGACGCGATAATTCTCCATACTACATTCCTGCACAAGCTCCACTAGGTCTGTAATGATTGATGGCTGCCCACTGCGCTTCTCATCATGCACACTTTGTCGACCTGCTGAAAACTGTCTGCACCAGCGACACACCACCTGCTTGCTCATGATGTTAGGCCCATAGACCTGGCACAGCTGACGATGAATTTTGATCAGCGCTATGTTCTGTGTATTCAAAAACTTTATCACTGACTGCACTTCAAAGTCAGCGGGAGCTGGAATAAGACCCTCCATCTTCAACAGCTGCAACGATGCTACTGTGGGAACGTGAGAAATTCCGTTAGTGCATGCACCATGCTACGTCATTGCTCTATCATATATGCGCAGTCGCTTCGCATAATATAAGGTTTGCTACCTGTGGAAAGAGTGGGAAACTTACTTTGTGGACGTGCTATGTATTACAATTTTTTTAATGACTGAATTTAAAAAAAAAAATGAATTCTCAGAAAGCAGAGACTGAACACTAGCACAAAGCAGCAACATGACTGGCTGGTATTCAGCCAGTACTTCTATTCAATTATTACAGGGGACAATTTCTTTGAGGAAGGAATAAATCCACCAAAGGATGAACATGATCTCTCCAACTGAACATCAGGGATGTGTGTTAGCACTCCTGTTTTATGCAGACCAGCTATTCTGAGGTTTTGCATGGATTTTGTAGTCTTAGACAAATGCTGGGATACCATCTTAATCAGCGGAACCACCATTTTCTTCCGTATCTTTTTTTTGTTCCTTATTTTCAATCATACTACCATTCATCAGCATATAATCTTCATAGTTAAAACAAATGTCATTAAATAATACAAGAATCTGTAAGACACAAACTTGATCTTCACAAACCAACTGGTCTGTACTTATACTTTTAACACATTTAAAATATATAAAATGTGGATACTGAGAAATGGAATGCACAAACTTATGGGTTTGCCATCACTATTTATTATTTGTATATTTTCTGTATATTGAGAAGCTTTCTTTCCAACAGCTTTATTAATATAATGTTTAACTGCAATACCTTCTATTTCTGAATCACCATCACTACCATCATCAAGCAATAAAATTTGTTTGGGCAAATAGTTCTTGCATTTAGACTGATGTTTATTTTCACAAAACTTTCTTCCATGTTCAACACAAGCATTCAATGCTGAAGATCTCTTGTTCCCACAGATAGCATTCTCCTTCCCAGGGTTTAACTTAGAACCATGCAGTCTTTTCTTCATAACATTAAACTGAAGCCTTGTCTGAACTGTTGTCATGGTATGATGTTAAATATCTGAAACAGAAAAGCAGTATCCTTACAATTCATACCATCATTTATTCAGATGTAAAAGATCAGGTCTGAAAAGGGATATCACTTCCTAATTCTCACACAAAAATAAGCCATAATGTATTATCACATGAAAAACACCCTGAAACATGTCATGAACTGCTGGGGATTTGAAAATGGCAGTTTCTGGACCACTGTTACTAATAATGTTACCTGAAAATTTTCTAATTTAATTGGTAGCCAACAGTATTATTTTTTTTATTGCTAGTGGGGTGGAACTAAGTCCCTTGTACTGCGGCCACTTCTGGCCTATTGTACCAGCCCCAGATGATAGGCGAGGTTGATTGTGGAGCAATTGGTGAAATGAAGATTGACAGGGGAAACCGAAGCACTCGGAGAAAACCTGCCCCAGCGCCACTTTGTCCACCACAAATCCCACCTGACCAGACCTGGGATCGAACCCAGGCCACCACAGTGGGAAGCCAGCAACTAACTGCTTGAGCTATGGCGTGCAGCCAACAATAAGAAATTCCCATTAGTGAAAATCAACCAAGGGAGCTTGTGAAAGAAAATGCTGCTGCATTTGTCTGAGAACATGGTTAATTTGATTGCCGTGAGAGAAAAAAACATGCCACTTATATAGCAGAAACAAGTGACAATGAAATGTAGCCTGAAATATTTAAGGCATCAAAAGAGATGAATCTTTATGCATATCAAACTGCGCCTGTAAAATGGTTTTCAATTTCTTTCTGCTAGATATAGAAAATAGTAATACAACCTTAATAAAAATTAAAGTTTGTAAAACGTCAGTGTCCATTAGCACATCCTGGGGGATCTTTATAACTTTTGAAGAGAAAAATCTATTTTTAAACCCAAATTTCATGTGGTTAAGAGAAGCCATGTAAAGCGTTATAGTTTAATTTGAAATTTCCTGAACACAACATCTACACCCTAATCTGGAACTCCAGGACCTATCACTGAGGATACTTTGCTTCTTCTAAGTGACATTCTTAAATGTCTATGTATTCAGTCTGTCAATAATGCAACAATCATTAAAATATTCACCATTCAACACCAACACAACAGGTTGTGGCTACAGACGGCCATCCTCAGGTGTTTTGATGCGTCTAAACTGTTATGTCATGAATGTGTTCTTTGTATCTGGTCTTGGATGTTCTTCCTGTTTGCCCAACATACTTTAACGGGCAATCTAGGTATTTCAGTTGATAAATTCAACTTTTACTATATTTATCTATTTGCAGCTGTGGCTTTAATATGTTCTGTATTGTGTTCCGTGTACGGAAGGCCACTTTTATTTGTCTCAAAAAAGCTTTGTGATTGCTCTCACTTCCTTACTGCTGTACATGAGGACAACCCACTTTGTTTTTTTTTTTTTTTTTGTTGCTGCAAGTCTGCATGCGTATTTTGTTTTTGATTTTTTCTGAGGAGGAGATTGCTAATTAAGTTTATGTCATATTCCTTATTACGTTAACATTGTTGTTTTTTCTGGGGTGTGGAGATTGCTAATTAAGTTTATGTTGTATTCGTTACTACGTTAACAGAAAAACAAAACGGGATAAAGCTGGCTGAACTACACATAAAATAATGATCAACGTCAAACATTAAAACTGCACAATGAGGAGCTTCCCAACTTGTACTCTTCGTCAAACATAACTAGAATGATCAATTAAAGGATGAGATGGACAGGGCATTTAGCACCAATAGGGGCGAATATTAAAATGGATCATGGAGAAATAGGCTAGGGTGGTTTGGCCTGGATCGATCAGACTCAGGATGGGGACCAGTGGAGGGCTCTTGTGAACATGATGATGAACATCCTGGTTCCATAAAATGCTAGGAAGTTCTTAGGTAGCTGCACAATTGGTGGCTTCTTAAGAAGGGCTCCGCTCCATTAAGTTCGTTTTTTTTTTTTTTTTGGTTGGTCCAACATTAAAGCCCCTTACAATTTTTCGTTAATTTGGCCAATAAAATACATGTATTTATATATTAAGTCAACGCAAAGAAAAACATACGGTGTCATCACGTACAGAGTCTTACAACTTCGTGTAACAAATATAATTACTTACTGCAACACAAAAGCAACGCCAAAGTACGAGTATTTCAACAAGAAAGACGACCAGCTGAATCTAGGCGCGAAATTACTGGCGTCATATGTATATCAGGATATCCAACAGTACAGCGAAAATTATGTATCAACTAGATGCAGAGAGGAAACTGGCAACCGCAACGCAACTGCAATTCTCGATACTGACATCGATACGATGCAATGACTGACAGAACCTGGACAGGACCCAACAGAAAATTACGACACACAATTACTAGGTTGGCAGCACACGGATTCCACCACAAGATATGCAAGAACGAACGTTTCCACGAAGTAAATGACGTGTGAGTGTGTAAACACTGTGATAAAAAGTGCAGTAGATACCACATTACCACATGCAAAAACTTAACCACATCAATAACCGAATACAGTCGCGAATAAAAAAAAAAACAATTACTCTATGCACATTGTGCGCATTCCCTAATTATATAATTCTCGATACTTATAATGGCCTCAATTTTCGCTGCTCCATACTAACTTACGTACTCATGGAGCTGTGCCCTTCTTCAGAAGTGGCCAATTCTGCAAACTGAATCATGTTTTGATTTGTTATCGTTGTTCCCAAATATCTGAACTGTACTACATTTTCAAAATATCTGTTTCCTGTCTTTACGTCATGTTTTTGCCCTGCATTTTGGTGACGAGACAGCAACATATATTTAGTTTTCTGTGTTTACTTCTAGAACAACCTCCTTCTTTCGTCAATTAAAGTTAATATTCAGAATTAACCTGACTTGTCATATATCATGTACAATGATCTACAGTGACGAAATAAATCAATCAATCAATCAAGTTTGTGTGTTATTCTTTATGATATCTATATTATCACCCAGTAGATTCGCATCATTGGCATAGACCAACAACTGACGTGTCCCATTTAATTTCAGTCCCACCTGGTTTTCCTGGACCTTCCTAGTGGCATATTCTAAAGCAAAGTTGAAAAGGACTGGCAATAAAGTATTTCCTTGTTTTAGACCATTCTGGATAGGAAATTTATCAGACAAATGTTTACCTATACGAACTTTACTATACGTTTCGTTTAGACACATTTTAATCGGCTTAAATATAGTTTCATGGGTATCCCAAACTCTATCAGAATCGATCAGAATATTGTGCAATACTTTCCTCTTAACTGAATCATGGGCTTTCCTGAAGTCTATGAATAGCTTATGTACTGTCTCATCGTACTCCCATTTTTTCTCCAATATCTGACGAATGTAAAAGATCTGATCTGTAGTTGATCTGTTACGTCGAAACCCACACTGATGATCCTCAATTATTTCTTCTATATATGAACCGTTCAGTACGGGTGGTACGGATCGTACGGATGGTACCGATAGTACTCCACATCGCTAGAGATCCGAGATTAACGTTGATCAGTCACGGGCGGTCACGGGCGTCTACATACGGAGAATGTGTGTGCAGGCGTACGGCGAGGTATAAGATGAAGTGGAATGTGGGGGTTAGGTTGTGTTTTATTGCATGTGTTAACTGTGAATAAAGCAAGTTTGGTACATTATATTAATAATGATTACATTAAGAAACTGTGGAATTAGAAGTGCCAAGAGTTTCGAATCTGGTAGAAATTTGTATCAAGTTTACTCACAAAGAGTGCTCTTTAGTAGATTATACCAAGTTGATTCGGAAAAAGGGAATAAGGAAAATGGAAAAAAGCATGGCTTCAGCATATCGGAACAAATACCATCAGCCATATCATCGAAATACCAGGTATTCAGAGATGAAGACGCCACAGTTATTTTGGATGTAGAAGAGGAGAGATTAAAACACCTTCAAACTCTGGAATTACCTCAGGAACAAGATAAAGAAGATGAATTTTCTGATTTGAATCTTGAACGTAAGTGTTGTTTTAGTATGTGACCGCAATAAATATTCTGATGATGAAATTGAATTTATGTTACGCACAGACTGTCATGGTAGTGTAACTGGAAGACGCATTAGTGTTGTTGAGCCACTGGATCCACAATTTTACGTGTTCCATACTTAGCACCAGGGTTTGATATACTTTTGTTACGCATAGGATGCCATTTGGAAGTGAGGGGGCTGGTAACTTATCAACTTCGGCACTAGGGCTGAAAGATAAATAAATAGATGAAACAACTGCCATGACCTCGGATAGTTCGAGTGAAAATACTGGATTGATTGTTTCAGAAGTCAGTACATCAGGTCATTCAAATTAAAGATAATTGTGCATCCTGATAGACTTCCTGCAACAAGATATTGAATAAAGGTCATTTGGGGATTATCCAGGCCAGACAGAATGTGTTATAAATTTTTGGATGGATGTGAGCCTATCGCTGTGCTGTGGAAGAGAGGATATATTACTTGTATTACACCATTTCATGCTTCAGTTCTCTGACAATTCACCCCCTTAACATTCTTCTCTTCAGCTTTTGTTCTGATGTCCCACCCACATGCTGAATATCATTTCTTACCAGTTATTTCACCAGAATATAGCAATTATGATGGACAGGATTGAAGGAGGCAATATAAATGACTTTGGGTTATGGTTCTTAGACCTAATGTAAACCATTCCATTCTGCCTATTTACCTAACCAAGGGGTGGGAAGACTATTCTGTTGAAGGGCCACATAAGAAGTTGCGTGTGTTTTTCTGGGCTGGAGAGAACTGGAAGTAAGCAGGATAGGGACCAGTGGAGGACTTTTGTGAACACCGTAAAGTGCTGGGAAGTTCTTAAGTAGCTGCACAACTGGAGGCTTCTCAGGAAGGGCTCAGCTCCATGAAGTTAGTGTAGTTAGATATGAAGTTGTTATGATGTTTTCCCTAAACAGTGCCCTGAGCAAATGATTTTATAAAACCAAGGATGTTGCTTTTGGTATATTTCATGAAAAACAACACTCTGTTTTTAAAAAAACCACATTGATCTGCCATAATTATTTTTTTCCCCCTTTTTTCAGGGGGTGTTCATGGTGTGTTTGATATTGAAGAAATTGTTCATATTCTTAGAAGAGAGAAATTAGAGGACCTATTTGTAGTGGCAGTGCCACAAGATATAAAATATGTTGACTATATTGTTATTGTTACTGGGAAGTCTAAAAGGCAGATGTCTGCTGTGGCGGAGTTTGTAAGGAAGTTGTACAAAAGAAAGCGGCATCAATATGATCTGATACCAAGAATAGAAGGACAAAATTCTAAGGACTGGATGGCATTGGATTTGGGTAGGTACATAATTTCTTTAATCAGTGTATGTAAAATAATTTCAGTAACAGCTTCTGAGTTGTAAGTCTCAGGAATACTCCTTTTTTAGGCATGTGAAAGTACTATTTTTATGTAACTGCAGCTGAAATAAAATATTCAGTTCTCTGCATGAGAATTTTAATGGATACAGCAATTCTTTTCACTTTCTTGAAGTTCCCTGTTTCATTTACTGTACCATTATGTCTAAACTGCATAATTCTCATGCTTTTAGTACATTGTAGTGTATAGACCTATTGCTAAATAATGAGTTGGTAAAAAACACCCTCTGCTAGGCAACAGATTCCTAACAAGCAACAACTGAATTATAACAATGAGGAGCAGTGGGTTCTGTGCGGTCCATGCCAAGGTGTTATAGGCAGGATAGGTGTAGAGTTTAGTCAGCTGAGTTGGAGTCAGAAGAGCAGGAGGTTGGTGTGAGATGGCCGCATGCCTGGGAGTCAGTGCAGTTCAGGAAAGTGAAGAGTTGGTGAGCTAGAGGACTGCTGCAGGTCAGTCCTTGTGAGTCATTGCTGTTAGAGGCTGGTAGTTATGGCACAGGGATAGTTCGGGAACCCAGAGGAAGGGGAATATCTGCCATTGGAAGCCACTGCTGAGTAACGGATGCAAAGACACAAGTGGACACAAACATGTATGTAACGGTGAACTGTAAATTGTACTCAAGTACTGTAGCAGACTGCAATAAATCCAGTTACCAATTCAAACGCAATCTGTAGTCACTCCTACATGTGAAAATATGAAATAACTGACAACAGAGGATGAATTGTCATGATTTAGTGACTCGACAGAGCCTTTGGATTGATAATTGGGTTTATTGAACTCTTTTTGACGACTCATAACTACAAGTAATTATAATGCTTTCACTAATTCATGTACTTGACCTCTCACCTATAAGTTCTTGATATATAACCTCAACATGGACCGTGTAGAAAACACTGTTTCCATGGTTTCTCTGTTGTGTGCTTTTTCTAGAACAATCCCTTTATTGTTACCAAAGTGTTGAGTAGCCTTGCCTACTTGACTAGTGTGTGTATTATTATTATTGTTATTTTAGTTGATTGATTTATTTAACATCCATAACTGTTACATTATGTAAGAGCAGTAAGTATGTAAGTTGTGTGACTTATGTAATTTATTACATGTATACATCTATTATTTTTATAGTAATGCACTTTTTAAATTATGTGTAGTAATTACAATTGCAATAAGCTTCTTGTTTTTGTTTTTTTTTTCTATTGCCTATGTTACTTGACTAGTGTGTGTATTATTATTATTGTTATTATTTTAGTTGTGTGACTTATGTAATTTATTACATGTATACATCTATTATCAAAGGGACTATTTCCACATCTTAGGTTTTTTGCCTTACAGATATATGGAAAATAAAGGAAATGAATGAATGAATGAATGAAAAGTGACAGCTTGTTTGTTATTGGGCTGTTACCACACAATGAACAATTAGGCATATTATGATTTCTCCCATGTGGGAGGGAACCAGCTCCTCCACAATGCCCTGTTTCTCATTTTCCAGAGTCTGATGGAAGACCCCAATAGTGACTTTGTTCATCCTGCTCTGTCATACTAATAATAGTATAATAGATTATTAATGCCATCCAGTGTTATTGATAAATAATTTGTTTTTTTAATCTTTCATCCTTAACATGTTTTGGTCAGAGCAACCATCTTCAGGAGGATTGATTGATTGATTGATNATTTAACATCCATAACTGTTACATTATGTACAATTGGACAAGTCAGTTTTTTAAAAAAAGTATATGAGATTAAACATCACATCAAATGACTAATAATATAAAAAACCATAGATAAATAACATAATAAGTCCTTTAAATATCATAAAACAGTGGATGAGTATAATAAGGCAACAAAAACTAAACTATAAATTACATGCAATAGCTAAAATAAATTACCTAAGTATCTTTGTTCTATTATTAAGCTAATTCTTGTAAAAATATTCTTGAAGGGAATAAAAAGCTTTGCACAACAAGCAATCCTTTAATTGACGCTTAAAAACCTTGAACTCTTGAATACTTCTTATTTGAGAGGGCAAGTTATTATACAATCTTATTCCCATGTTAATCACACTCCTTTTACAATGTGAGGTGTTACATGGTTGGACATACAAATTCTGCTTATGTACTGTGTTATAACCATGCACATCTGAATACGAGATGTTATATATCCTATTTTTCCTTAAAAAACACAACGTCTCAAAGATATACAATGAAGTTAAGGTTAAAATTTTAAATTCACCAAAAAATTCTCTAAACGATATCCTGTTGTTGACTCTTTTGATCAGTCTTAAACATTTTTTTTTTGGATTTTAAATACAGTTTGAATGTCCTTTTGACCACAGCCCCAAAAAATAATACCATATCTCAATAAAGATTCAAATTTCGCAAAGTACACACTTCTCAAAATTGGAAGACTGACCAAATCTCGTAAGGATTTGATAAGATAGATGGTTTTTGTTTAATTTTTGAACTAAATGGTGAATGTGAGAGGACCAACTTAAATTCTCTGTAATATATATACCTAAAAATTTTAAATTAGCTGTGTATGTTATTTTCTTATTATTCAAATAAAGTTCCGGTTTATCAATTTGACGGGGACCAC